ATACCAGGCTGATTCCCATGCCGATGGAGAAGCCGATGCGAAAGTCCAAAAGCTTTGCTTGAGCTTAGACAAAGCTGGGGTTTACAGTGAGCGCCAGGGCCTGTTTCAGATGCCGGGTCACTGCTCTGCACTCTTCTAGCCTGTTCCCAGTGAATCAGCAAGAACGCTGGCAGTCTGGCTGCCACATGGAGGGAAAAGCTTGGAATCCAAAGCGGGTAGCAAGCAGGCTAGCTGAAATCTGGCTTCAGGGTAACACTGAAGGAAACGGGTAACACCTGGGCAACAGCAATGGGCTGCTCCTAACAGCCTCAGGGAAACTCAAAACAAAGACGTAAAAGGAAAGGTGATCTTTTTGGAGCTCTTGCTCAGGAATTCCAGGCTTTCCGGAGGTAAGCCAGTTTTAGGAAGACTATTCTAAGTCTGGAACTTTCTGCCTAGCACCTGGGTTTTCCATTCTGTTTTGCTACTAATTTGCAATATGAGAATGGAAAGGGGCCTTGGGAGAAAACGAAACAAAACAAAACCCACTACGCTTTGTTTTTGTTTTTTGTTTTTGTTTTTCCTCCCTCTTAAATATACTAGGCAGTTTATAGTAGTTTGGCCACAGAGATATTTCTGGGACTGGAATTTTCTGCCATTGTGCACAAGGCCACAAATTTGGTTCCAAATCCAACCCCTCGGCTTCACATCTTCTACAGCAGCCCAGTCCATACATGGATGTGAAATGAGTTACTTAAAAAAAAAGGCATTTTCAAAGCAACACATACCATATTTTGTATAAATATCATTTACCCTGACTGTTGGGAATAATATCCATTTAGGAATGTATAGATATTACTGACCTTTCCCTACCTAGCAATGGTTTTTTTTAAACAACTGGTGGTTTCCAGACGTCTGGGGTTGCTCTGGAAGATAAAGTGAGTTCCCCTGTGACACCTCTTGAAGTTAACAACAGCAGCTTGTCAGAAACCAGCCTGTCTAGTGCCAGCTTATGAAACAGAAGGACTCCGACAAGTCACACCATGGTCTTCTCTCTCAGGTTCACACCCAGAGTGAGCCTGCCTTTCCTAAGGGTTTCTTTAGACTCCCGTTTTTCGTGAAATGGGGTGAGCTAACACCGAAGAGGCTGCTGGGAAATCATCCTGCTTGTAAGGCTGCTGGGAAATCATCCAGCCATCACCGTCTTGTCTTAGCTAGTCAACTGTTCTGAGAGGTTTGTATTCTTTGTATTTAGACAAGCTGACTGGCAGGTGAGCTGAGTGTCCCTTGGGAGATGGGGGAACCTTCTTGGACAGACTTAATTTGCAGAGGTTGCACCCAAGCATCGACCTCCTAGAGACTGGGAAGTGGGAGGTGAGCTCACGGCATCTGCTGCTGGTCATTCCCTTTTGTGGAATGCCTATGATATCATTTTTATATTCTACATGTCGATGAGTAGCAGACTTGAAATAAAATGGAAGTGACTGGGGCTGAGGACATGGCTTACTTGGTACAGAGCTTGCTATGTGAGCCTGGGGGCCTGAGTTCAATGTCCAACCTCCAAGTCTTGGCTTGAGCCTGTAATCACAGTACTGGGAGATAGACAGGAGGTTCCTGGGGTTTTCCATTCAAATAGTCTAGCTGACTCGGAGAGTTCTTCGTTCACTGAGATAATCTGTGTCAAAAATCAGATGGGGAATGATCCAGAATAACCTGCTATCCCATATTTTCTGATCTAGAAATAAGAAGTACAAAAAACATTTCAACCGATATATCTGTCAAGATGTCCAACACAGCCTGGCGTTGGTGGCACATGTCTTTAATCCCAGCACTCGGGAGGCAGAGGCAAGCAGATCTCTGTGAGTTCGGGGCCTGGCTGGTCTACAGAGCGAGTTCCAGGACAGCCTCCAAAGCAATACAGAGAAACCCTGTCTCGAACAAACAAAAACAACAAAAAAGATGTCCAACACAGGCATGCTGTTCAGTGACAGAGTGCTTCTGCAGCACACACAAGGCCTTAGGTTCCATCCCTAGCACCACAGAAACAGACAAGCAAGAAACAAAAGTCAACATGACAGATCTAATATCAACCTTGAGAGAATTTGACAGTTTTCCCCCCCTCCAATTGCCTTAAAAAGTATTTTATTAACAGAATAGAATGTTATGGTCTGCTCAAAAACCAGGTTTTGGCTCAACATGCACATGTCTGGTATCCCAGCACTAGGGAGGCTGATGCAAAGTATCTTAAGTTCAAGGCCTGCCTGGGTTGCTTAGTGGAACTCTGTGTCAAAGTCAACCAAAACAAGCAAACCTCTCCCAGCAACAAAACCAATTTATAAATGGCGCTTAACCATGTCTGTGCTAACTACCATATAAATACAATTCCAAGCTAGGAGTGGCAGCATCCCAGCCCTTAAGAAGTAGAGGTGGGAAGACCAGGAGATCAAAGTCATCCTCAGCTACACAGCAAGTTAAGGGCCAGCCTGGCCTTACATGAGACCCTCCCACACAGGAACACACACAGTTTTCATGTCATGTTCAGCACAAGCACATTGAATGTAATATACTTCAGTCATACTTCCTGACCAAATGAAGGATCATAGCATTTGTTTGAAAGTTCACAGTTAGAGTTGGGCAGCACGTGGAAGAGGATCTCTATGAGCTCAAGGCCAGCCTGGTCTATAGAGTGAGTTCTAGGACAGCCAAGGCTATAAAAAAGCACCCTGTCTTGCAAACAAAACAAAACAAAACAAAACAAAATATGCACAGTTAGCGCTGCCTTCTGTCTCCGGACTTGAAGTTGTAGAGAGTACACAAGTTTCCTGCCTTCTGTGTTTTACTTTAACCCAGTAAATTCAAATAAGTAGTTCTCAAATTTGATTCACATGTTGAATTTCTCCTCCAAAAATATTTAAAGGCATGCACCACTAGCGCCTGGCTATCTCCTGAGCATTTTGACCAGTTGTGAGTCTCTGTATTATCTGATGGAAAGGAGTGGCATCATTCACTGGATTGGGTTTATTTCTTGGTTTTTCTGATTTTGTTTTCAAAAACTTTTGCTGGTTGCATTAGTAGTTTGTGCTTTTGAAACAGGTCGAGAAGGATTTTAAAGCTGGGTATGGCATGCAATCCCGAGATCTACCGGGGTGGTGAGGGGGAAATGTCAGGGGTTCAAGGTCCTTCTCAGTTACACAGTGAATTGGAAGCTAGTGTCGGCTACATTAGATTTTGTCTCAAAAGGCGGGGTGGGGATGGAGGCTAATATCGTATAAAATAGATCACAGTGATCATGACTGTTCAAATTAATTAAATATTTTTAATTGAAAAATAGCTTAAAATTTTTTTTTCAAGACAGGATCTTACTAAGTAGTCCTGACTGTTTCAGAACTCACTAGATAGACCAGGCTAGCTTCAAACTCACAGAGATCTACCTGCCTCTACCTCCTGGGTGCTGGGATTAAAGGTGTGTGCCACCTTTGGGCCTAAAAGGACTCGAATGTGAGGCCCAGTAAAACCTCCTGAGCCTGGCTAGAGTTTGTCGACCTGTCTCTGACCTGTAACCCCTACATAGGGGTGACCCAGCAAGGCCTGATGTAAGACTGCCCCCTGCCTAGCTATCTGCCAGCTTGGTGGAGTATTATTGGCCCTTACTCCTCATGTGGTCACCTTACCCCATCCTAAGATTCCCATCCCCTACCTCAACCTTATATAAGTTCCTGCCTGTTGGAATAAAGTGAGATCCTGCTTCATCAAGTCTTCCAACTCAGGGTGTGTTTCTCCCTGGTCACTAGGAAGAGGGGGTGGGGGCTCTGAGTCATCCACACTCACCATCCCGCTCAGCCCCAGGAAGAGACGGCTGGACTGGCCCTTCCCCAGCCCTACCTGTGGGGGGACCCGGCATGCCACAATGCCCAGAAATAGTTTGTATATTTAAGAGAAGATGCTTGTAACAGATAGAACTGTTTGTCTCTCCTTTCTGCGGTGTCCCGCTTTTCCTGATGGAGTGTGATGTTGTTTCGTGCCTGGAGTCTGGGCTTGCTTTGGTTACTGATTGAGCAGTTACAAGGCCCTTCACTAAGAGTGCCAGACACGGTTTCCACAACTTTATCAAATTAATTCATTTCATACCTTTAGCGACAGTGCAAAATGGGTGGTGATCTAATCTTAACTTGAGGAGAAGCTGAGGCATAGGACAACGGAATGTATGGAGGCGTCCACATGCAGTAAAGGATGCTGCTAAAAAGTGAGAGCTCATTAGCTGTCATAAGAACCGTGTTCGGAGAAGTATCCCCTTTGAGGACCGAGATTAATAGGTGCTGATGGCTTCTCTAGGTTGACTCATCTTGTCATTGTGATTTCTCTCCATGGAAACCTTCTGTGGTTCAGACAACATAATTGAGGATGGAGGATGCAGCTCCGAGGGTAGAATGCTTGCCTATCATGCACAAAAGTACCACCCAAGATCAGGTGTGGTGGTACAGGTGATGATGGCAGAATCTTTGCCCATGTTACCGTCACACTCCAACAGCAGGAGACAGGAGATGGCTGATGCCTCTGTGCTTTGGAGGGTTCTCCTCTCCGGTAGCCCAACATCAAGTCTGGCTTCTGCCGGGAGCCAGACTATGCCATGAATGATGGTGTTTCAGGCTCGCTAGGCCTGGAACATGTCGCTCAGTGGGAGGCGGGTTTCTTGTCTTCTTTTACTCCCATTTGGCAAGGACATCTCATTATGTAAGACGGCCACTGTTTATCTGCCCCATATTTTTACAGGGCTTGTTCTAAGGTTTGGCAGATAGGAGGGAATATTTCATGAAGCAGGGTTCATAATGAACAAGGCCCTAAATGAAGTTTGGGTAGGAGACCTGAAAGGTGTTCATTCTGAGGAGGTTTAGTGATTCTTTTTCTTTCTTTGTTGTTCACATTCATTGGATGTTGATGAGAAGCAATGGTGGGCCAGGCACTATTAAAATACATTCTAATTTATGTTTTAAAGAAACTGAAATGTATCTTGTTATCCCTAGAAACCCAACCAGCCTAGAGAACATTTACATTTATCTCATCTTGGCAAATACTTCTAAAACCTCATTCGTCATTGAGGCAGAACCTCTGCTTTGGAAAGTGCTGCCTCTCCACGGGCCAACCGAAAACTCACAGTGTCATTTTAAGTGGTTCACGGCTAACCCCGAGAAGCTTATGAATGGGATATTTCATGGAAGTATATTTGGGAGATGCAATAAAGTGCCAAGCCTCTGCTAAAAATTAGTTCTTTATTCAAATATTATTTTATTGTTAGCTCTTAGGGCATTTTAATCTAACTGTTCTACATAAATCTGGAGACTAATAAAATGGCTTTAACAGAAATGAGACGTTCCTTCACAATGAGTTGTTCTCAAGCAGACTAATGGTCCTGGTTACATAAGAATTTTTCATCTACTGGGCATCAAACCCAGCACCTTGAGCATTTTTAAGTGTGTTTCCTACCACTGAATTCTATCACCAGGCCCAAGAACTGTTTTATGAGAAGACTTCTGATGTTTGGAAGTGGGCTTCAACATGTGTCATATTTAACTCATTGTCACCTGATCAAGCATCTTTTAAAATGAGTGGCTTAAGATTGCTTCCCAGCCCAGTCTAGAAGAGTAGACATTTGCATTTATAGGAATGGTAGCAGAGGAGACTGAGTTCTACAGTCAGGCTTGTGTTCCTCCTCTAAGGTTGCCATGCACTAAAGAGCAGTCTTGTTTAAGAATTTACCTGAAAGTAGAAAGTCCTTTAATTTGTACCAAACTAGGTAGGAATGTCAGCTTCTCTCTATATACATGTATGCGTTAAGGGCAATATGGCTGTTATAAACACAATACATATCTTGAATACATTGAATATACTGTTCAGTACACCTCCATTTCATAAGTGAAGTTACAATTTTAGCACTTCAAAAACTTTGTATTTTAAGGAATAATGCAATCTTCTTTCATAACCTCAACTGAAATGATTGCTTTGTAAAAGAAGCAAAGCAATTCCTGCAAAGTGTGATACATATTTAGCATGACATTTTATTAATTTCAACCATTTAAAGAGGTGGTTCTCAACCTTCCTAAGGCTGAGACCTCTCAGTACAGTTCCTCATGGTGTGGTGACCCACAACTATAACTTTATTTTCGATGCTATTTTATAACTGTAATTTTGCTACTGTTATGAATAATAATGTAAATATCTAATATGCAGATTGTCTTAGGTGACTCCTGGAAAAGGATTGGTCAGTTCTCAAAAGGGTCATGACCCACATGTTGAGAATGGTAGATTTAAAGCAAAACCATAAATAGAGAATGGTGTGAGCTTTTAGTAACATCATTTAGTAGGTCAAATTTTTTGTAGATGACAGAATTGGATGAATAAATAGGAAAAAAAATACTTGCCAAGTGTGTGTGTGTGTGTGTGTGTGTGTGTGTGTGTGTGTGTGTGTAAGTTTTTTAGGTAGGTTCTTGTTATGTGGCTCAAGCTATCTTTGGATTCATGATTCTCCAACTTCAGCCTCCAAAATGGTGGTGTAAGCCAACATAACCAACTACAATGCATTACATTTTCTTTCTGTCCGTCTTTCTCTTTTTCTGAGGTAGTTTCTCCCTTTGTTGTCCAATATAGCCATGAGCTGCCCACAGTCCTTCGGCCTCCTGTTTCTGGCTCCTGAGTTCTTGGATTATAAGTGTGGGCCACTATATCTGGCTGCATTTGACTTTTCAAGGCACAATTATCAATAGTTTGGAAAGCTACAGTGATATTTAGTAAAGTGTTACAAGCAAAATGCTGGCTCAGGATTGCTTTAGTGTCCTATTATTTGTGTTCACATAGCCTTCTCAACATATAAAATTATAAACCCATGTTTTTAATTTTATAGTGTTCCATTAAACACTTTACTCCATTGACCAGATTCTAAACTCTACTTTCACAACAGCTTCCTTCTTTTCTCATTGTTCCTATTTCCTCTCAATTCTTTTTCTTGTACATAAATAAACATGTAGGTAGTATCTAAGGTGGAAACAGTTTTCAAGAATGAATGGATTAGACTAATAAACGTAACATAGACATTAAAAACTTAAGAGTTGGGTGTGGTGGCAAAGCCTGTAACGCCAGGACTCATGGAAAGCAGGAAAGATCCCAAGTTGAGGCCAGCCTGGGCTGCATAGCAAGAGTTTGTCTATGAAAAATAACTAAGCAAATCACCCTTTCCCACACACAATCCCTTTCCAAACTTACAAACACACACACACACACACACACACACACACACACACACACACACACACTGAACTGAGGTGCACTGAAATTTGTATATGCACAACTAGTCAAGACACAATAATCAGTATTGTATTTCAACATTAAGAAACAGTCTGTATGTTCTAGAAATGTTCTAGAATTCAAAATCTCCACATGTGCCTAATCACACATGAGCAAGCAATGCAGTGTCATGGCAATAAAATTATGATTTAAGAAGGCAAATGTAAATAGAATAATTAGAAGACTAGAGGAGTCTTTCCAGTAGTAAACTGTTCACTCTATTCAGTTCACTTAAGGCTTTTGGTACAGTTATTATTGAACTTTGTCCACTTTGGGGTCTGATAAGTGAAATTCAGAAAATTTGAATGAGATGCAAAACAATAATAATACAGACCCTTTTAAATATGAAAAAGGTTTATTTGCTCAGGAATACTTAGAGATGTAGCAGTTATCTACTTTAGAGGGATGGCTAATAAGTGAATGTTTTCAGTTAAACTACACAAGACAGCATGTATTAATTGTTAAAAAATAAGAGTTGGTTTTCCTTCGTGTAAGAAACTTGCAGAGTGTAGATAGATACAGAGCCTATACTAGTCATGAGAGCCAGTGTTCCGAGAGGAAGAGTTGGGAGTTACCACAGAAGCACAATAAGAATAATTACAGTTGAGAAATAGTCCTGGGAGAAGAGGCTAAAATAACAATGCCATTTTGTCTGGAAGAGAGAAAGCTGTTTCACACGGTAGAAGAGACCAGAGCTCGGGTGTTCCGCTTTTTCCTTCTCCTGCCAATCACAATATGACAGTGAAAACAGTGATCACAGAACGATTCTATACCAAGGCCAGAAACAGCCCATGTAGACAGAAAGACTTTCAAATCCACATCTTCCTTCATGACATGAATGTAAGAGCTGGGGTGGGGACAGTTCTGTCCTTGCTCTAGTTGGAGATTTACCTGTCCCCAGAGTGGAGGGAGCTGCAGCTCCATCCACAGTTTGTTTATGGCAGACCCCGAGGGAGGGCTTCACCGAGGGAGACAAGTAGAGTGGTTTGCTCTTACTACTTGGCGTTTCTTTTGCACCTTTTCTCCAACTGTGACAGGACTGGTTGGGTGAAGTAAGAGATTTCTGAAGAGAAAAGGTCTTTAATATCCACACAATAAAAGTTAACACAATTTAGCTAACAGTAACACAATCAGAAAAGATATATGCTGGGCAGGTGACACAGGCCTCTGGTATTCAGGAGGCAGAAGTAAAAAAATCAGTCCGGGAGACTGGAGAGACCGGTCAGTGGTTAAGTATGCTTGGTTCTTGTTGGGGACACAACCTCAGTTCCTAGCACGCATGTCAGATGCTCACAACTGCCTGTAAATCCATCCTCAGGTCGTCTGACACGCTCTTCAGGCCTTGCCAGTATCTACCCATGTGAAATATATTAATACACACACAAGAGCAAGTAAAATATACATGAAACAACAACTAGCCAGGGCTTCCTGTCAGGACCTTGTCTCAAAAAGAAAGGTTTCCAGCACTGGGAGTCAGAAGCAGGTTTACACAGGGAGTTCCAGGACACTAAGGGCCACACACACACACACACACACACACACACACACACACACACACACACACACACACAGGGAAAAAAATCCCAAACAAAATCGTGACAGTATGTGATCCTTTTCCACATATGAAAGTCCCCAGAAGAAAGTGTTAACCCAGGTGAGAACTCCATTTCCAAGCGCTGTGAGAAAACAGGAATGGCTTTATAAGAGGCGCTGCAAGTTTATTTTCCAGGAAACACTGATGGGCAAAATCACAGAGAAGTCCACTTAAAATGGCTTATGAGTTCTAATATATTTAAATCTTTACAAGTTTGCGGAGCTTGCTGGGCAACACCATCTGTCTAAGCATATCCAGCTTTATGACATTGATTGGCTAGTGTTCCTGCCAATCTTCCAGGGAAGGATGAACTCTGCTCAGTACCTGGAAAATTTTCTGAAGAAATGCCGACAGCTAGCTCGAACCAGAAACCTATAAATCATGCTCTTTGCTTGAAATCTGACTTTTAAAACATACTCACAAACACAATATGGGTCAAACTAGTGATGTTGGTAGGGACTGAGTCTGGTTAGCGAGGGTGCTCCTCTGTGATTGCGGTTTGGACTGATGTTAATTTAAAAGGATTAGAGTGCTGAAGACTTTGCAGACAGAAACCCGTCCACCTCTATGACCCTTCTGCGGTGCTCCTCCCCATCTTTACAAGTTGTTTTCATTGCATATTGAGCTTAGCTGGAGAAGCAGGGGAAGGGAGATTGGTACCAGTATTCCTGGGGATGCAATGTGTCCCCTCACAACTGTGCTGGATACAGACTTCAGAACAGAAATCCCGTGTGGGGAGTGAGTAGTAGCTGGGCCCTGACTCCCAGACTTAATTTGGTATTTCTTTAGAAAAGGCCCGGATAAAGACCAGCCTATGGTCAGGTGGTCAGGCAGTCAGGGCCAACAGCTTCCGGGGTTTGATGTTAGGCTTTGACTGTTGGGACCCATTTCTGGTGGTGTGTTTCAGTCTCTGTGATGTAACTATTACCTCCTACCTTTCATTAAAGCAGTTCTTCTGCCTTCAGAACAAAAGTTCTTTCTTCCTCCAGCAGTCTTGAAAAATGAATACAAAGAAAGGTTGCAGCCTCTCTTAAATGGACAATAAACCGTGAGTGCTTTGTCTATAGATTTTCAGAATCACTGCCTGGACCAACACCGTGGGATGATGCAAGACTCCACCACAAAAGGTTTAATTCATACCTAAAATGTTGCCATTATCTTAGGTAATGATATATAATTAAGTTGCTGACTGGGTTCTCATGCTTTTCTATCGGTGATTCATGGCTGTTGTCAAAAAGCAGCAGCATCAACTGAGCTCATTTGGCTAAAGCCCTTGTTTGAAATACCCAACGAACAGGGTTTTCTTGATCCATCGGCTCATCAAGGTAGTTCATGTGTTTCTGTAAAAGCCTGAGTGTATGCCAG